TTGCACGGTGTGGGATGTGCTATTGAAGAACACGCAAGGTGTTGGGTCCCAAAGTATGTGCCAATCTCCAGACCCAGGCCACCAGTCTGCTCTCCACAGGCAATGCTTCTAATCATAGAATCATAGAATAGAATCACAGAATGGTTTCGGTTGGAGAAGACCTTTAAAGACCATCTAGTCCACCCCCCTGCCATGGGCAGGGACACCTTCCACTAGATCAGGTTGCCCAAAGCCCCGTCCAGCCTGACCTTGGACACTCCCAGTGATGGGGCAGCCACAACTTCTCTGGGCAGCCTGTGCCAGTGTCTGATCACCCTCATCGTAAAAAGTGTCTTCCTTATATCCCATCTAAATCTCCCCTCTTTCAGTTTAAAACTCTTGGCCCTCGTCTTGTCACTACAGGCCTTGGTAAAAAGTCGCTCTCCATCTTTCTTACAAGCCCCATTTGTACATTGAAAGGCCGCAATCAGCTCTGCCCGCAGCCTTCTCCAGGCTGAACCCCAACTCTCCCAGCCTGTCCCCACCACAGAGCCCCTTGGACCATTTCCATGGCCTCCTCTGGCCCTGCTCCAACAGGTCCCTGTCTGTCCTGGGCTGGGGACCCCCGAGCTGGATGCAGGGCTCCAGGGGGGCTCCCCAGAGCGGGGCAGAGGGGCAGAATCCCCTCCCTCGCCCCACTGGCCATGCTGCAGGGGGTGCACCCAGGACACGGTTGGCTTTCTGAGCTGCCAGCGCACATTGACGGCTCATAGCCAGCTTTTCATCCACCAGGACCCCCAAGTCCTTCTCCTTGGCTGTACCAGAGGAGGAGTCCATGAGCAGCTTGGGAACTCAGTCTCACTGATCAGGAAGAGGCTCGCTCCCCTCCTGTGTCTCAAAATCAGGCCTTTCACCCTCTTGTGTTAAAATTTAATCACTAAGACCTTGCATTTGCCGTATCATTGGAGCTAGAAGCCACCAGGATAGGAAGCCCTGAGAGATGAGGCTGCATGCTCATGCTGGCATGGGACATCGCAGCAGTTGATGGTGGCCCAGATAGCTCCCACGGTATCTGGGGCATTTAATGTCATGTAAGCCCAAGAGCCTGGAGGTGGAACAGCCTTAAAACACTGATCTCTCCCCAAGTCCTCTCCCCTTCTGTCCCAGCTCCACTTGCATCTTGCTCAACCTCTAGCCAAAGTTTGCATCCAAGCGTCTCACCAGTGGGCAAGAGCAATGTGGTGGGATCATGTTCATGGAAACAGGTCACCAAAGAAGCCAACCAAGCGATGGCTTTGCTGAGCTGCCCTGGGTGGGACTCCCTCTGCTTCCAAACACTTCCAAAGGTGCCAGGCAGCAAACACTGAGTCCTCAAGGGTCAACCAAGATCATGAGAAGGGGCCAGGAGAAGATACCTAGGGACAGGCGTAACGCAAAACCATAGCAGGTAGAAGGAGCAGAGCTGGAGAGAGAAGAGCTCGATTTCCAGGGGGAAATTCAACACGTTGCCAAGAAGAGATGAGGTAAGTGTTAAGCCTTTAATTTCCCTGGAGCTGATGGGATTATCTCACTGGGTTATTTATTTACCATTCTCCCCTGGCCTTCCTGATCTGCTTCACTTGAGAAATTGTTAATTCTGGTCTCACCATCCACTTCGCAAACGACCTCGAGCCAAGTTACCTCCCCATCCTTGGGGCTCTCCAGTGTCTCATCCTCCTCTTCCAGCCTGGCTCTCAGAGGAGCTCCCCTCATCTAGGGAAACCGAGGCAAAGCAAACCAGGGCTGCTCCTCCAAGTGTTTCTGCCACAGCAGCATCCTGAGGATACAGGCACGGGACGAGCACAGGGCACCGTGCTGTCCGAGGGGGCTCCAGGAGGGTCCCTGGGGCACCTACAATGCAAAAAAAAAACCCCATGCAATGCAAAAAAAAAAAAAAACCCAAACCAAAAAACCATGGTGAAGTTAAAACTGTTCCTGGGCACTTCAGGTTTTAAAGGGTCTAGAGGATAAACACAGGCTTGGGGCACAACCTTCAAAAGGGAGAAAATCCCTCAGCATCTGGCCACACAGCCAGGGAATAAATTAAATCCATAGGCTGCAGAGTATGGTGGTACATCCCAAACACCCCTGTTCTCCCAGCCCTTCGCCACAGGCTCCTCTTTCCCCTGGGCTGGGGAAGGGAATGCCCCAGGGATGGGGGGATTTGTCCCCAGCCCTGCATGGTAGCCCCCAGGGCTGTCATATGCTGGGCCACCAGTCCCACGCCAGGACCCCAGTTCCATGCCGGGATCCCAGTTCCATGCCAGGACCCCAGTTCCATGCCAGGATCCCAGTCCCATGCCGGTATCCCTGTCCCATGCCAGGATCCCTGTCCCATGCCAGGGATCTCTCTCCCATGCTGGGATCCCAGTGCCATGCTGGGACACCAGTGTCATGCCGGGACCCCAGTCCCATGTCAGGACCCCCAGTTCCATGCTGGGATCTCTGTCCCATGCCAGGATCCCTGTCCCACACCAGGATCCCAGTGCCATGCCAGGATCCCTGTCCCGTGCCGGGACGCCAGTCCCATGCCAGGATCCCCATCCCATGCCAAGACCCCGGTCCCATGACCAGATCCCCATCCCATGCCAGTGCCCACACCTCACGATGGGTCCCAATCCTGTGCCAGGATAAATGATGCTTCACCGCGAGGCCCCGTTAGAGAGGGAAATGGGCCTGATCCTGCTCTTCCTTCCCACCACCCCACTCCAGGTACAAGCCCAGCCCCTGGTGTCCTGCAGGGATGGCTCTGCTCCGGTGACGCAGACGGAGCACAGGATTCCTCTGGGAAGGGCTGTGCTTACGACCCGAGGCACTTTAAGGGCAATTTATGTCCCTTTAAAGTCAAGGAAAACTCTCTTCTGCTTCACACCCTTGCACGGGGTGTTTGTATTTATGTTTGACACGCGTTGCAAGGCAGGGGCCATCGGTCCAGCTCCAGCCGGGCGGATGGAGGAACGCGGCAGCATCCCAGCCGGAGCGGCTTCCGGGGATGCAAAGCTCGGCTTTGCGCAGGGTCCAGCTGCTGGGACCGGCCGGACGCGGCGTGGTTTTGTGCACGGAGATTTGCTGACATCTACAGGGCATTTCACGGAGAAGAGGCCGTGGCTCCACACGGGGCGTGTGTTCACGCTCCCCTAATTCCCTCGCCAAGGAAGAAACGTGCGTTAAGGTGTGACAGCCCAGGTCATCAGTAACGGACCACAAATACCCCCGTGTGCTGGAGCGATCACTGAACACCCATCTCGAGGGTTGGCAGCTCCACTCTGGTGGCAGAGAAGCCATCACTGTCACGAGTCGAGGGGGTCCTTTTCATTTTTAAGCATCCTCAAAGCATCACCACGTGCTCTGCCTGCTGCCGAGGATGTCCCCATACAGCAGATCTACCCTCGCGTTCCATGATGGACCCACAGGGCAGCATTACCTGATGGCCAAGAGCACCCACCTGCCCCTGCAGCATGGGTGGCACCTGAGGGGATGAGAGGAGATGGCCTCAAATTGTGCCAGAGGCTTAGACTGGACATTAGGAAAAATTTCTTCACCAAAAGAGTGGTCAAGCATTTGGAATGGGCTGCCCAGGGTAGGGGTGGAGCCTCCCTACCTGGAGACATTCAAAGAAGGTGTAGATGTGGCACCTGGTTTGGTAGGCATGGGGGTGTTGGGTTGATGGTTGGACTTGATGATCTTGGAGGTCTTTTCCAACCTTAATGATTGGGAAGTGATGGTGCCCCTGTGCTGGGCACTGGGGGGGCCGCCCCTCGACTGCTGGGGTCAGGGTTGGGCCCCTCCCTCCCCGAAGGACCTGGGGGGGCTGGAGCGTGTCCAGAGAAGGGCAGCGGAGCTGGGGAGGGGTCTGGAGCCCCAGGCTGCTGGGGAGCGGCTGGGGGAGCTGGGGGGGTTCAGCCTGGAGCAGAGGAGGCTGAGGGGAGCCCT